GGCGCGTATGGGGAAAGATCTTAAAATGGGAGGATGACACACGGGGTAGGAACATATATCCAAAGTCTCAGCCTCTCCGCTTTCCTGGTTGCTGAGATGAAAGCGGTGACAAAATGCACTCGCTTTCCGAACACACACACAGACAGCCTCTCGAAAATATGCGTTTTTGTTGACTGTAGCAGCGCTATGGCGCTGCACAGCAAAACGCATAAAAACGCATTAAAACACACACCTGTCCAAAGCTTCCTTTACCAATAACTTTCAGAACTTCGTAACGGTATGCAATATGATCGTGCGCAACAAGTAGATAGCTTCCCATGTCATCATCATAACCGCAATTGTTTTGAGAACTGACGTTACCACTTCGCTTTTTCGCCTGAGATCCAACGAAATAAACACGAGGATAGTTGTAAATTTCCGAAATTTCGAAAGGCGAAAGCTTACTACCAAAAGTTCGCACTGCATCTTCCGGACGGTAGCCCTGCAATAAAAGCAACTGACCTGCAAGGTAAAATTTAAAGACAGTTGCAGAGTCGAATGTCCCCCCATCTACCCAAATCCTTAGTGTCTTCCGAAATTGTCTGATTGCTCTTTAGACCCTGAAAAGCCTGCAATATTACCCGCCTAGGTACGCTCTTTAGCGTGCCTGCAAGCTTTATACACAAGTTCAGCCCTGAATTTTACTGTTTTTTATTTTCACTCTCTTAGTGCAGTTTAGTGTTTAGTAATCTGACATGTTTGGGATTGACCAGTGACAAGACACTCACGCTGAACTGATTCCATGACATATAATTCAGTACCAATCTATCATCACAAAACACCTACTGATTATAGTTGTGTGGTACATCGGCAGTTTTTCTTTCTTTAAACATGTATGTATCACATAAGTGGGCAATTACACTCGACGGATTTTTCTTGATTTATAGTGCGACAAACAAAAATCAAGCTCCATGTCAACTTCCAATACTTCCAATTTCCAACTTCCAATTCTCATACTTCGCTGCTACTCTGTCTTTGGCTACGATCTCCCGTTGCAAATGTTCTAGGTCGGAATTCTTATACTCGCTCTGGTCATACTACTTTCAGCACAGGAATTACGAGAAATTCTAACATTCTGCAAACATACTTTTGCCACAGATCTAATTTTCGTGCGTTTTTGCTCTGCAGCGCTATAGCGCTGCTATAGCAAACAAAAACACATATTGTTAAGAGGTGTGTTCGGAAGCGAGTGAATTTTGTCACGCACTTTTATCTCAGCAACCAGAAAAGCTGGGAGGTTGAAATTCTGGGCTTATGCCCCTACCCAATGTGCCACCCTCCCGTTTTAAGATCTTCCCTCACACGCGTCTAGACCCCGCGTATGGACCCTCCCCCC